CCTCGGGCGGCGGGCAGGAGGCCAGAGTGGGACGGGGCCTCGGAGCCCAGGGGCTGCTGTGACGTAGGGACTCGGGGGCCAGTGCCGACCGGACCTGGGAGCCCCGCGAGCGGCCCTGGCTGGCCGGGCACCGGCCCGCCCTCCTGCTCTTTTGACAGCCTCCTCTCAGGGGCCTGGGCCAGGACCCCTTGGCCCATCCCCGGCCTACGCCAGCCTTCCCTGGCAGCGTGCTGAACAAGCTAGGCCAGGTCCTTCCCGAACAGGAACTCCAAGGCCTGACGACTTTGGGGGCTTCTGTCTGTTTCCTGGCAACCACTCTAGCTGGGCTGTCACCCCCGGCCCTCAGTGAGGGAGGCAGAAAAGGCCCATGACCAGTGCGTTACAGGCCCTGTTGGAAAAGAATAAATGCTCTGGGAAAACAAGTGGACCAGCATCAGGGAGCTGGGGGCCTCTGGAAGGTGGTGGGCAGAGTAGGCCCCAGTGACAAGTAATTGGAACAAACGGAGGAGGAGAGTGAGAGAGCCCTGTGTGGGTGTGCAGGAGAGTTCCCAGCAGAGGCAAGAGCCCGTGCAGAGGCCGTAAACTGGGGGCACATTTGGAGTGTTTGAAAAGTGGAGGAGGCCATTGTGACCAGATTGGAGTGAATGAGAGCAACAGGATACCAGCCAGAGAGGGGGTCAGAAGGGGGTCACATGGGCTCTCGTAAAGACTTTGATTTCTTTTGTTTGTTTTTGTTTTTTTTTAACACCTTTTTTCTGGTATGGTTCTTGCACAGTAAACTACATGTATTTCAGATGTACAATTTGATGCATTTGGATAGCTGTATGCACCCATGAAACCACCCCACAATCCAGATACGTAACATTTCCCTCCCTCCCCAAGAGGTGCAATTTTCCAATTCCCAATTTATTGCTTCCCACCCCCTTGAACCCCTGGTAGTCATAAGATTGTTTTCTATGTCTGTGAGTCTGTTTCTGTTTTGTAGGTTAAGTTCATCTGTGTCCTTTTTTTAGATTCCACGTATTATCTATATCATTTGGCATTTTTCTTTCTCTTTCTGGCTTACTTCACTTAGAATGACCATCTCCAGGACCAAGGGGCTTTGACTTTTACACTCAGGAAAGTGAGGCCACTAGAGGATTGGGACAGGGATAGCTTTTCAGTGCATCCCGCTGGCTGATGGAGATAGCAGTTTGTAGGGGAGAGAGCAGAGGCAGGCAGGCCGTTGAGGAAGCTAGTGCAAGTGCCCCGCTAAGAGCTGACGGTGTTTGGACACCTTCGGTGCAGTGTTCTGCAGCACCCAGCAGAGCCTGCGTTTTGTGGCAGCAACAAACGACGCTGAATTCTCAGGGACTTAGCAGCACAAAAATGTGTTTCTTGCTCATGCTAGGTATTAAGGTTATAAGGCAGTTGAATATACAAGTACAGAGCTCAGGGAGGCGTCCAGCCCAGGTATAAATTTGGCATTCATTAGTGTATTTGTTGTGTTTAAAGCCATACAGCTGGATGAGATCACCCTGGGCGGAAATGCAGACAGAGAAGAAGAGGGACCAAATATTGAGCCCTGGGTACTCACATTAAGGGGAAGGGAGATTGAAAGAGGAGGAGCCCGGAGCCAGGTGAAGGCAATGGAAGTGTGCTCAGGAGGGATCAGCCCCAGAAGCTGCTGAAAGGTCCCAGACTGTGAGTGGAGCTGGGCGCTGGCTCCCTGCACAAGTGAGCGATGCGGTGTCAAGGGGTGTGGAAGGAAAGATTGGAGACCTGGAGACAGACAACTCTTCTGAGGCGGTTTTGCTGAAAATGGGAGCAGAGAAACAGCCAAAGTGGGAAAGAAAAGGCAAGTCAAGATATAGTGGAAAGGAAATGGCACATGGCTCACCAGTGGGAATGACCCCACAGGGGAGAATGGGGTGGGAGGTGAGGCGGTGGACAGAGCATTAGGGGATAGTTCAGCTCCGCCAGTTTGGAGGGGAGTCTGAGAGGAGTGTGGGTGTGGAGGTCGGAATCGGGGGCGCTCTCTTCTGATGAGAAGTTTCTGCCTTCTCAGGAAACAAGTTGAAGGTGAGGAGAAAAGAGCAGCTGCTAGTGGTTGGAGGAGAGAGGACCACGAGGACCAGGAGGGAACAGGAAGCACAGTAGGGTGGCCCCGCAATGTGAAGGGGACCCTTCAGTGTGACTGTGTGTGTGCTTTTTCTTTTTTAATGGGAGGCCACTGGTCTATCATTTAAGTGGCCACCCAATTCTTTTTTTTTTTTGTAGGGGAGATAATTAGGTTTATTTATTTATTTTTAACTGAGGTGCTGGAGATTGAACCCAGGACCTCGTACATGCTAGCACGCAGTCTACCACTGAGCTGTACCCTCCCCTCTTGACTGTGTTTTTCTCCAGCCTACTTAGGCTGCTCCGGAAAAGGCAAGGTGGAAGAAGAGAGTTAGATCTAGCCAAGACTGTGGCTGTGCTGGGCGACTGGAGTGAGGGGAGGGGAGAGAGAGGAGGACGGTCTAAAAGAGAGTGGTCCCAATGCTTGCCCTGCCTGGGGCATCTGAGCTGAGTGAGGAAAGAGCAGAGGACCCCAGCAGGGGCGGGTCCGAGGGTTGGAGGTCCCCCTGAGGCCCAAAGGATGGACGCTGGAGGGAACGAGCGAGGGGGCAGGTGAGTCAGAGTTGTGTGGCCTTAAGACCCCCAAGGGGCTGCATTAGCCGGTGAAGATCACGATTTCTGTTGCCCAGTGACGTGCGATAAGCCACTCAAGATGTCCGGGCTTGAAACAATGTGGATTCACTATACTGCACAGCTCTGTGATTGACCGGCGCTCTTCTGTTCCTCACGGTGTTAGCTAGGTCCCTCCTTTAGTTGGGCTCAGCTGGGAACTTGCCTGCGGCACTCGTCTCTCTTCCAGGGGACCCTCTCTGTAGAGTGTCTCATTACCCAGGCAGGATTGCCTGGACTGCTCCCAGTGACAAGTCCCAGTGGGCCTGTGCTTGAGTCACACTTGCTGGTATTCCACTGGCCAAAGCAAGTCCTGCGGGCAAGCCTGGAATCCACGCGGGAGGGATGTGGACAAGAGTGTGAGTCCTGGAAAGTGTGGTCCACTGGGGGGCCACCAGTGGACCAGCCTGCCCCCAGTCCACCCTCTGGTCCCTGATAATTCATGCTTCTCCCACATGAAGACCTCAGAACCACCACCTCACCAAGGCTCTAGGCTTCAACAGCACTGCTGAAATCCAGCAGGCATTTGTCACAATGTTCCTTCAAGGACTCGCTGCTCCCTGCACGTGGTTCCCTAATCCACTGTTTTCTAGAGTTCCCGGCTTCTTCTTCTGCGCCTAATTCTTGCCTCTTATTTCAAACTTTGTCCATTTTAGCTCAAGCAGCTCCAACTCTTAAGAAAAACTTTGTGGATTTTCTATGCATCAAATTCCAAGTCACTTCATTAGACAAAAGCCACACCTCAAATATCTTTGAGATGGCTCCTGTCTGCCATGGACGACAAGCCAGGTGCTGCAGGACAGTGACCCCAAGACACTGGGAAGCCCTCCCGTGTGGCTGACAGGAGCCATCCCCCAGGGGTCTTAGCAGGGCATCCTGCGCCACACCCCTGATGCTACTCTGAGTCCCCGTGTTGCTGCCAGTGCCCTGGGTGCCGTTTCTCACCCCAAGCCCTTTTGCTACCTGGAAAGGCTGGGACTGAGAATGATTTTACTTCGCAGCTGCGAGACCTAGCTTGAGATATTCCTCCAGCTTCTGCTGGGACCTGGAACAGTGCTTCTTAAGTTCATTTCTCCTTTGTTTATTTGCCTTTAGTATAAACAACTGAAAGAAGCCAGTTGGCCCTTCACACTTTCTGCCAGGAAAGTCAGATCATTAGGTACATTTTTTGTCTTCCACGTTGCCGCAGGCAACAGTCTCACCACCTTTCTGCCAATACCTGACACGGCTAACCCTCCAGCCCCCATCAGCGGTGTTCTCGCTCCCTGCTTCCAAGGTAAGGGCCACATTTTAGACTTTTGTAATGGCTTCTCACTCCTGAGTGCCAGTGTCTGCTCCAGGTATCTGCTGCCGCACAGTAAATGACCCCAAAACTCAGTGGCTGAAATCACTATTGCTTGTCTCGCGATTCTGTGACCTAGATCGGGCTCAGCCTGCTGGTTCTTCTGCTGTTGGCGGGGGTGGTAAGTTGTCTCAGGTGTGATGCTCCACCCACACCAGGCCTGTGACTTTCTTGATGCATTTAATGTAGTGGAAAGTTCTGGGGCTTCTGAGCCCAGATTTGAGCCCAGCTTCCCCCTCCTTGGGGGTCTGCCCACACAAAGTCAGTCTCATGACCTGGAGACTCTCAACAAAGCATGTGGGGAGACCTCAGGGAACGGATATCTGACCAGCCCCCAGCTACCCCAGCCACCCTAGTCAATGTGTCAGATGCAAGCAAAAAAGACATCTGGGACGTTCTAGCCTTGACAGGTACAACGCAGAGTAGAAGAGCTTCTGGCTGAACGCAGCCGAGTTTTCGGAGTAAGTGATGAACTGGGGAGGTCTGTTATGCAGCTATAGATACCAGAAACTTCCAGGGTCACTTGTGCAGCCACTAAGAATTCCTGCACGAGTGGTGTTAGAGAGAATGACAGTGAGTGAGTTGGGAGCTGAAGTCACCAAAGGATAAGGGGGCAGGGCCTGGCTGTGAAGGTGACAACAACAGTGGGGGGGGTTCAGTCTGGGAAAATGAGAGTTAAAGCTGTCAGGGCTTTTAGGGTGAAGGGGGAAACAGTGTGGAAGTGAGCACAAGGAGTCAGGAGGGCACCCACCCTACCTCCAGGCTCAGGGTACAGGGGCTGTGTGAAAACAAGCAGCTACGCTGTAGAACCTCCAGGTTCCAGGGTCCAAAAGACCAAAGAGGAAAGGAAGAGAGGTTGGGTGTTGGTAGTGATGGCAGATGGGAGGGCATAGTGGCAGGGTTTCCAGCACGGGGCAGGAGGGAGACAGGGTCAGTGTGGGAAGCCCTGCGGGGGTCTGAGGTGGGAGATAAGGGAGACCTGGGATAAAGGGCACCTACTTTCTGTCCCCATTTCCTCCATCTCAGCAGCAGCCCACACAAACTCTCTCCCTCCTTCCTGAAACACTCCCTTTTTGACTCTGGGTGGACATCTGATATTTTGGGGCTGCCCACAATCCTCTCCATCCCATGGGCACCCAGACCTCCTTGTTCAGGGATTACCCCACTTGCATAGTCTTGACAGGAAAGTGTCTGAAGCCGGCCAATCAGATGCTCCCTCCTGGAGCACTGGAATCAGGGGAGGCCAGGGGGCCCTGCTGCCTACTGCGTACCCCTGGCCTTGGGGACTGCCTGGCCCCTCCCCTTCCTCAGCCTGGCTCAGGGGGACCCCTCCAGCCTGTAAGTCCCCTCTTAGGTCGCTGGAGGGCTAGATTAGCTTTCTGTGGCTTTCACCCTCCAACTCTGATGTCACCAGCGTTTTGAATAGACCTATCATCTACAAACAAGGGTCTAACAAATCTACTCCTTTGTCTCCCCCAAACTCATGCCTAGAAGTGCCAGTTCTCTTGGGTGCCTATGGGCAACCCAGACTCTGCCTGTCATCATTCCCGCACCCCCCTAACCCCAAACAACCTGTATCCAGGCCGGTCGTCTTCATCAGAAAAATGCCACCCCACTCGCCCAGCTGTTCTGGACAAAAACCTGGAGTCATCTTGACGCCCTTTCAAGCAACCCTATATTTAACCTGCCAGTAGGCGCTCAGGTTCCTTCTCTAAGCCCAGCCTTCTCTCCCCTAGACCCATGCACGGTCTGCCCGCGAATTCGCCCCCGGGTATCGAGCCCCACCCCTCACCTGCCCCCCTCCCCCCGCTGCGGGCCAATATTCCCCCTCCCACCCCCACCGTCCTGGGTCACCAGCCCAGCCTGGACTCATCCCAAAGTCGAGAAACGCAGGGTCGGGGAGACCCCTGGGCGGAGCCTGGGACAGGGCGCCGACTCGGCCCGCCTCCTCGACAGGTAGGGCGGTCGCGCTTCCCGGGGC